GGGGGGGGGAGGAAAAGAGGAGTGAAGGTTTTTGAGGAAGTGTGATGAGAGGAAGAGAGAAGAAGGAGGGTAGAGTTTTTGAATGAGAGGAGGAGAAAGAAGCATCAGAGAGGTTGAATGGAGTACTGAGGGTAGAAAAAGGGGATTTCAGGGCTAAGCTGCACTTATTTAGCTAAATATACTCTCTTATTCCTTCTGGAACATGACAAATATGTACAAATCCACGAAGGATGAGGCACTATACTGTAAATCATGGGATCATGCAGACTGGAAAAAAGACTATATATATATTCAGCTGACACTGTACCAATTTAGCCCCGAGCAGAAAGACCCTTAGGGAAAAACTAAAATGTCACCTGGTTTGATGTACAGCCATGAGTCAACCTCAGCTTGGCCATTTATTGACCGCCAGGCGACTTTTGACTGCTGACTTTATGCAGAATGTGAAAATAGGGGGCTTAATGCAGAGCACTGTGAGCGAGGAAAGTGTAGATTTCAACTCCTTGCATCACCGGCTGACACAATGAAAGCACAAGGGGAAAGAGTTATTAGTCAGTGTGTGTGTGTGTGTGTGTGTGTTTGTGTGTGTGTTCACGTGTGTCTATTATCATGCCCTTGGAGGGTTTGGATATTAATGGGTTTGCTGATATGGGAGAGGAGTTTAGATTAAAATGTACTCCTGGCCCTGGTATTGCTCAGGGCTTCTGTTGAGTCTCATTAGAGTTGCCTTCAGGGAGGTTTGTGTTACAACTTTAATGTGTTTTGTCTGTGCTGAGCTTCGAATGTGTGCGTGTGTGTTTCTTCTACTCACTCTATTTATAGTTTACATAGAGAGTGAAGCAGCTGTGTTCTGGACTCATTTTTAATCAAATGTGTGTGTGTGTGTGTGTGTGTGTGTGTGTGTGTGTGTGTGTGTGTGTGTGTGTGTGTGTGTGTGTGTGTGTGTGTGTGTTTTCCTCCAGGTTCACGATTACCTCCGCAGCAAGTTGTGTTCTCTGTACGAAAACGACTGCATCTTTGACAAGTTTGAGTGTGCCTGGAACGGCTCGGACAGGTACCTGAAGCGTTTTCATGTTTTATGCTTAAGTCCCAAGATTAAAAACGTTTGTGGAATGGTTTTTAAGTTAATTAATAAACAGGTTAACAGTTAAAAGGTCAGTTCATCGAAAGATAAAAAGTCCTATTTTCCTCCCTACCCAGTTGCAGTATCTTACCATGCAGATAGTTACTGTTTTTCTAGATTTCCCTTAAAATATTATATTGGAAAAATTCCGCAGTAATGTCAGAGTCCTGGTTGCTCTGGATAATCTAGATTCTAGTATGTACATTTGCTGATAATACTTGTACCAAGAATGTAGGTAGAAATATGAATGCTGCACTTACTGTACATGAATTTATAGTGCATTATTGCAAACCTTTACTTAAGTAAAATATCTAAATATGCAACACATACATTTAAAATATCTTCAAAACCCAACCAAATAAAAAAAGAAAAATTATTATAATCTGCATGTTCAGATACCACAGTAGTTAAGTGTTCTTTTTGTAATTTAGAGGAAAGGACCCTGTTTGTTCAGAGTTAAGGTTAGTTTGTGAAGTCTCTCCTCTTCCTCTTCTCAGTGTGATCATGACCGGAGCCTACAACAACTTCTTCCGCATGTTCGACCGCAACACCAAACGGGACGTAACCCTGGAGGCGTCGAGGGAGAGCAGCAAACCCCGAGCTGTCCTGAAGCCACGGAGGGTCTGCGCGGCGGGGGGGAAGCGGCGGAAGGACGACATCAGCGTGGACAGCCTGGACTTCACCAAGAAGATCCTTCACACGGCCTGGCACCCGACTGAGAACATCATCGCCATCGCTGCCACCAACAACCTGTATATCTTCCAGGACAAACTCAACTCTGAGTTACATTAATGAAGGATGTCGGCGGCGGATACAACTAGTTTACACCTGAACACACAGCTATGCCAGAATGTACACGTATCCGGACATACACACAGGAATATGCCTAGCACACCCATACACGCGATCAGAAAACACACACACATCTCGGTCCACTCTTCGACACACTCCTGCTCCTCCTCTCCAGCCTCCCGGAACTGAAAGGACCTAGAAAGGGCTAGACAGGGATCTGGCTGGATTACAAAATGGATTATGGATGGCAAAATTGTCCAAACTGTGGATTTCTGGATTGGGCTTGATGGTGTGTTGATTGCTACAGCTCAGATTCTGAAGGGGATAACCCTCCCAGACTAGAGGGACGTTTACAAATTTGTCTTTATTTTGTTCTTCAGGCTCTTCTTTGCTTTCTCCACCTCCTCCTCCTCCTCTCCTTTCTGTATGTGTGTGCTCGAGCAAAGCCTATTCTTATCCCTTGCCCACTGTTTTGTGTAGAAAAAAACCTTTGTGGTTGTGGCACTGATGAAAAATGGGGCATTTATATAACTAGCTGTTTGTTTGATTTCAGATCAGATACCCCCTCTTTTGTTTGGTCACTTCTTGTTTAATGATGGTTATTATGATGACAATTTAAAATGATACGCGTGATGTGCAAGGATGAATTTAGGACCCTCCCCTTTTAACCCAAGTGCACCTAGACGTCTCTGAGCTTAACTGGACCGTGTTCATTGAGGTAAAACGTTTACCGTCCCGCAGATAGAAGCAGAGGTTACACCATTGCCTAATATGAGGACACACACTCGTATCTTTCCACAGTGTGTTTCAGTCAGCAATGTTGTCTGCAGAAACAAGTCCTGCGACTTCTCTGATTGTGGATTCTGCTTCTGGTCTCGGGCTATGTCGTGTGCTACTTTGCAATTAATTACAACTCAAATCAAGCAAAACAATGAAAATGAACTAAATAATGTCAACAATCAAACAAAAAAGATGCTGCATGTAAAACCAATTTAGCCTAGGTGTTTATAAATTGACTGACTGACTTGGCTGCCTTCTTAACCATTTAGACCCAGCTGTACAAAGGCTTCAGGGGCCCCGGGGCCCCTTGCAGCACGAGTAACCATAGATGACCGAGCTGTCCTACCTTTATTTGTGTCTTCGGACACTGAAGCATGTTTACCAGTGTTCGGTTCATACACTTACATGTACATTATGAATGAGCTGTCCAAGAGTCAGTTTCTTCTCGACTGAAACTGAGAACCAAGAAGAATGGGGAATGTTTTCATTAATGTTGTTCTCTAAAAGAAAAAAGAAAAAAATATCAAAGGGCCTAAATGGTGTCTGTATATATCAAGTCTGTTTTTGACATGTATTTGTTTTTTTTAACATCCTTAATCATCTGCATCGATGATTCCCTCTAAAGCTACAGCAGAGAGATGGTACTTACATTTTCCCAGCCTTCCTCACAGATTACTTTGCTGATGTGCAGACGTTTATTTTTAGAGAACAGTTTATTCTTTTATTTATCTTTTTGTGTGTCAATCTTACTCCACCACGTCCTGACCAAACTAATGTTGAATCACATATTTTTGTGTTTATGTATGTTGACAAAATTGTCAAATGGACAGTTATAAATAATGTTAATATGTTTTTTTCTGAATAAAGGTTTCAACGAAATTGCATCCAATGAGCGCACATCTGTGATTTTTATTGCCATGTAATTAGATGACAGCGACAGTAATCGGCGGTGCCATTATGGAGATGTGCGCACGTTATTACTTCAATTTATATTGGCCTATTTGGGTTCATAATTACAGTCTGTGAAGATAGTGGTCTGAAGCTCCACCTACTGGCATCACACACTGAATGCATTTTTATTATTTTTAAAGGTGCAGCTAGTTTGAATGACTTTGTATACTGCAGGGTAGCTTGTGCATTTTACTCCGGATGTTCTTATTTAAATGCTTATTTAAGTGTTAATTATCTTTCACATCATTAATCCAAATCTGTAAAGTATCTAAAAGTACAAAAATAAACGCAGTGGAGTAAAAATACACGATGTTCCTCTGAATTGTAGTAGAGTAGAAGTACAAAGTAAGTAACATAACATGGGAATACTCAAGTTAAGTACAAGTATATCAAAATTGTACTTAAGTGCAGTACTCTAGTAAATTGTACCTCTTGGTATGACTTTTAGTTTTTTTGGACTAAAATAAATATTGTTGCTACCACAATAATATTCCACAGCAGGCATTTTGGCCTGTATGGCAGCAGAACACAGGTGAAATCGATCACATAAACTGGCGGTAATTGATTTCCTGTCCAGCTGGGAGCGGCAGAAACCAGTTGAACACAGCATCATCGATTTGTTAGCAATTACCTGTTAACCTACAATCATGGAGCAACAGTCTCATTCTTCTGGTGTCGTGTTTCTGGCTACTTGATGATTGTAAGTCAAAAATTCACTATCTAGTTGCTCCACTACTATGTTCATGCTATGCTAGCAAAAGTTAGCAAAGATGCTAATTGTGATTATTTGTTTGTCATTGATAAAGGGATAACATTCAACGCATTCAGACATGCAATACAGATATACAAATGTTCAGTGAAGTTTCTTTGAAACAAAGTTACATTTTCAAAATGTTTAATCTGGATTATTTTCTAGGAAAGAAAATTAAAATTGAGGAATGGATTTGTAAAATAACTGGATTGAAACAATGAAATAGACGAGAGAATACAATGAATCAGAAACTCTACGGCGCCATCATGTGGACTATCAAAGTAAGAACAAATTATTAGCAGGACTATCTGAGTGTTCAAAGTGCTGATGGATGCAGCCTCACCTTGATGCTCTAGAAACAGCTTCCAGATCAGTAGTGCAAAGAGATGGTGAGAGGAGTTGGAGGGTCAGATGCTATGTTGGAAAGCTTTTCGTTTTCTGTACCAGGCAGTGATGCAGTGTGTTAAGAGTTTATCAATGGTTCCTCTGTAGAATGTGGTCACCGGCCTCAGTCTGTGTGTAAGATGCTGAGGCTGCTTGGTAAAAGTTGTGGTCGTGTTGGACCAGGTCAGGTTGTCGTAAGGCATACTCCCAGTAACTGCTGACTTTCAACAGCTCTGCCATTGATGGTCAGCAGTAGGTGCAATGTCACTATTACCCTAATTTCGGCAACCTATAAAAAGCACAAATTGCTGCGATGACACTGATAACATGAACAGTTGGCTGTTGTATTGATGGGTCACTAAACTATGGAAGTGTGACAGGAAGCCTGAAGGGATTCTGCAGCTAAATGAAAATGAGCCGCCAGCCATCAGTAATTTGTAATCATTGTACCTGTTTTTTTTTTTACTTTATTCATGCCAATAGTGATTTCAACACTATGAACAAAGCAAAAGCAGGACTATGAGCATGATTCATACATTCAAAATGTTGTAATTCAATTTAAAATAATGCAATTGTTATTGAATAAAAACAGCAAGAAGCAAATGTTTTCATTATATTTATGATCACAGTAAAGAAAACAGTAGTGACATCCTAACTTAAAACACAGCACTCGGGACTGCAAATGTTCAATATATTAAATCTCTGCACAGCAGATAAGGACAAACAAGGAGGAAGAGGAGAGGGCAGAGGTTAACTTAATAATTGAAAGATGAAGCTGAGCTTAAAGGTTAAGGATTTAAGACGTTAATTAGTCCAATTTCCTCCAAATTCATTTACATGTGCCGTTATCTCTTGTAAGGCACTTGAAAAATATTGCCCAGTACAATAAAATACTGCACATAGAGTATATGTTAAATGATTAAAGCTTGACAGCAAAGAAGACCCTTACACGTTGTCATCATCATAACAACCTACATTATTATAGAAGAAATCTTTCTTCTACTTGTACGCCTCCACAAAATACTAATGTGTTTGGCTACAAATATTTGATTACTGTACATAAGAATGCTTCAGCACACATAGTGTTCTACTACAAACAAACAAAATCTGACGAAATGTCTTCATTAACGGACTGTAGTGAGCAACGCAGCTTCAAATTGATGAAATGTATAACTGACCACAGCTGAGGAGGCGGATATGGTGTTTTTTAGGCAGTGAATTACTGATTTTGAAAAATCGTATTCATTTGTGTTTCTCCCCTTTTGTATAATGACTTACATAATATTATGTGCTTTTTGGCTCAAAAGCTATTGCAAACACCCAATTTCTAAAGATCAGGACTGATACCACAGATGTCTGGGTTGACACTGATTTACAATCCTTAATGTTCTTCAACTCGTATAATTATCAGTCATTATCAGGTATCCTATTTCTCCAATAGGTGTCAGACAGATCTCTACCCCCCCTCCTGTGTCACGGTCTCAGTCTCTGTTTCTGAGTGTTGCTCTAGCTTGGCGGTCAGGAAGGGGTTGAAGAAGAAATCAAAACCAAACTGCAGGGCGTTCTGAGCCGTGCGCCTCCAGTCGTGTTCGATCTTGTACTGCCTGCGACTGGGCTGACGGGCGTCCCCGCAGGACATGCAGTTGATGGCTTTGAGTTCAAACACGGGCCACTTGGAGCCCAAACGGCCCTCCAGTATGGTGCTGAACTCCACCAGGCTACCTGTTTTTAAGTATATCAGCATAGATTTGAACTCATTACTAGCCCGCAGAACTATATCCTTTGTGGCATCTTCGTCCTCTATGATTGTCCCGTTTCTGGTCTTCCTCTCCAGTGGCATGCCCATTGTCACTTCGAATTTGTATTGATCAAAGCGTTTAATGTGACATTCGTGCTTGGCCAGTTTTTTAAGTTTACAGAGTGGATTTTCTGCAGGAGGTGCGGGGGCTGGCAGAGGCTGGGGCTCAGCGGTCTCGTTTTTCACCTCCTCACACAAAGGATAGGGGTCTCCATACAGGCAGCGCATCCAGTTCCCCACAAAAACAGGCAGCAGGTTCACAACCGACTGCGGCCCATTCTCGATGTCGGTCACACGGACGTATTTGAAGCGTCCAGTCCAGGTGACACGGTGTCCTTCGAGGTGGGAGCAGAGGATCTGAGTTTGGGCCATGTTGGCGTCTTTCCAGGCCATGGGGCCGCAGAGGCTGCTGTACTCAGGCCACGTCAGGGTGGAGTTATAAACCTTCATGCCTTCAGACCTGTAGACGTACATCCAGCAGAACAGAACCACCGCACTGAGCCACACCAGGATAAGCTTCACAACGCTGCTCCGTGATAAAGACCGTAAAACCACGATGGGGTTGAGGCTAAAACGAGTCCAAAGCCTCAGCACTACTGGCACAAAGCAGATTGTCAAGGTTACCACCATCTTGGTCACCTCCAGGGCAAGAAACCACTGTACTAACTGGATGAGGAGCATTGCAGCCAGGCCCAGCGAGAGAATGGGAAGGGCGAACAGGAAGAGGAAGTAGCCAACACAGGTGCGGATGAGTCCTATTGCGGTGGCGTTTTGAAGGAACACCATGCTGAGCTCACACCAGGTGAAGCAAACCATGTAGGGCACCAGGCACAGGTAGGTTCCCTTAAAGCCTCGCATCTGGGCCATACGGAAGAGCAGATAGAAGAGGTGTCCATATAGCAGACATGGCACCCCAAGGTTCAGCACTACTACATCCCCAAGAGGCACAGTGATGAACGTCATCCCAAACATCTTGATGAACCAGGGAATGGAGTCTGGCAGGAAGGCAGTGAGGGAGCAGGCTCCGGAGAGGACCTCAGTGAGGAGGGCTCTGCGAGCGAACAGCTGAGCGGAGGCCTGCAGGCTGAGGAAGGCGGTGAAGGTGAAGAAGAGGGCGACAGCAGCCAACTCTGAGCAGGGGATCCAGGATTTATCAGCAACAGGGAAAGAGAAAACCACGAAGATCACAGAGAGCAGGAAGTACCTGAAACACAAATATGCGGGATGTGTTCATTTTGCTGCAAAAAAAGTCTAGTTAACTTTGTTTAATAGAGTCCTTCCGATACTGATAACTGCACACAAATGTTGTATTTTTTCATGTTTTACAACAACATACATGGTTTAACCTCAGCCAGGCCATACAACAATAATAGTAATCATAACAGATCAATACAGTTGGTAATAAACGGCTTCAAAAAGTGTATATATATTTTTTCTTAACACACTGGGATTGGTTCGAAACATTTATTATTAATACTTCGTATAATACTTTCATACCTTTTTTACTTTGTCTGTTTTTACTAAAACACTAGAACAACACTATTACTAGAAAAACCATGATTGTATCTACAAAACAATGCTGAACAGAATTGGTAAACAAGTAAACTTTACATCTGCAAACAAAACAGAGTCATCAATAAAAAGAAAAGTAATAAATATGGAATTAGTATGTTCTCTACTTGGATTTTTGTGAAGAGATGTTCTTACAGATAAGGCTCCAAGTGCGTCCATCCAAAGTTGGTCTCCGCCTGCTCCAGATCAAGGCCGGGTTCAAAGTGAGACAGCAGGTCGGTCAGCGCCCGAAAGTTTTCCCATGCTTTTGAATTCTGTAGGAAATATTCTCATGAATGTTCTGTATATTTTACATGTATTAAGATACAGGTGCATCTATACTCTAGTAAACACATCTAAAGAAAGGTAAAAGTGTACATCTTTAAAAAGGAGCAGTTGCTAACCTGAAACACCCGCAGCGTGCAGATGACCATGGAGAAGAACGACAGGTAGA